TCTGATGACAGATTTCCAGGCAGCTGACATCAGAGAAATAGAAAGCTATAACAGAAATAGTTTTCTTGTGAGAAACTCCGTAGATTAGCAGAAGAAGACTTCTCTTTCTCTACAAAGACTGATGAAAACAATCTAGCAGGAATTGGGACTGTTTTAAACACCAAAATTCCAAAGTTTTTTGTCTCTGTGTTGTCATGTGAACAAGGAAATGGTTGGGTAGTGGGGAAAAAGGAGTTTTCTGGAAGTTTTATTCTGGTGTTCTTATTCTTATGGTTTTGTCAATAAACTCTCTTTATTCCTTTTAAGTTTTAAGCCTGTTTTGCTCTTGTTCTAATCCATATCTCACAGCAAGAAATAAGTATGTTTTCTAGTGATTTTTTTAGTTACTGATTTAAAACCACGACACAGGGGTGCAGCAATGCAGCAAACAAAGCCAATGGGAGTTAAGAGAAGGAAGAACATACTCGGAAGGGGACATAAAACAGGGGCTGAACGAAGGTGACACTAATTTCCACAAACTACTAGAACACCAGGACGCAAAAGGCACCAACATGTGACTGCAAAGGCCCTGGGAAAAAGGTTTTCCACACCCACACTTAGGGGTGTGCCTGCTGTCCCGTGCTGTCCCCACCAGGGTCGACATGTTCCTGCAACAGGCACCTAGGCCTCCACAGCAGGGCAGGAGTCTCCCCACAGCTCTTGTTTCACCTAAAACAGGAGGAAGGGATGAGCTTTCAGCCAAAGGCCCCAATGATCAGGCTTCCCAGGATCCTTTCTCTGCCTGAATCTCTCTCCCCCATTCAGCACAGCTCACAGGATGTATCCTAAGAGCCAAGCCGCCAAGCCCTGTTCCCCAGTCACCTCTCCCATGCTGGACACCCAGCACACAGGCCATAGATCATGGGCTGCAGCCTCACTGGTTCTTCCTTCTCCTCCCTCTCCAGGCTTCAGCACTACAGGACTGTCTTATCAAAGACTGGTTCATCACTGAGACCAACCCAAAGGAAGAAAATAAGAAAACGACAGGACTGAAACAAGCAGAAAACTTAAGAAGGAATTTTTCCCGTAGAGAGCCAGTCCTTAAAACACCCATGAACAGAAATCAGTCACTCCGGGCCACAGCCCAGAGATCCCACTGGCAGAGGAGGATCATTCAGCATATTCATTCAAAGTTTCATCTCTCAGCTCCAAAATGGACTAAGCCTGGAGTGAAAACCCCACGAGAGCTAGACCATGATTCCAAAGGACAAGGGGAACACTTTCAGGTTAGGCTCCCTGAAGCATTTTCCATTCCTCCGCCTCCTCTGGCTCAAACATGGCACAGCTCTACAAATACAGAGCCTACTGAAAACAGTGGAAAAGAGGAAAGAGAAGTTTGCTGCCACTTTGGGCCACTCAGAAACACTGAGAAGCACAATGGCCCTGAAAGCATGGGGCTGGTTTCCCTTTGGTAGCAATGGGAATTTGGAAGCCTAGTCACAAGATAGCTAGGCCTGAGCCTTTGGACAAGGGGAGCTCAGGAAAGGCAACTACCAGCTAGAGGGAGGAGCAGCTCTGGTTACCTGGGATGACTTGTCAGTGTGGCTCTTGAACTGCTCTAGAGAGTGTTACTACAGTCACAAACTGAGAGGAGGGCTGATCTTACAACTACAGCTTTTATCTCTGCTTCTCCTCAGCCCTCCCCAAAACACATTTTCAGGGAGGGCAACATCTGCTGGGTGGACAGCAGCTGAGCAATGTACTTTTGCCCCAGCCATTTCCTTCATGTGTGCAGAACATAAGCAAATACAAAGATCCATTATGGGAGAGCACCAACCTTCAAAGTTTTTTCAGTAGATGGCACATCAGTGGGCTGCTCTTTCTGAAACAAGAACAAGAGAGGCAGAAAGAGTTAATTTGGGTTTTTTACTAATTGACATCTACTCAGCCAGCATTTGCTTACCAACAGCTCTACAAATGTCAAGCAAGTCCATTACAAATGAAATGCTAGAAGAATGAAAAGGCCCATCTGAAGGGGAATTGGGAATTGAGAGCAGGTAGCAAGGCAGCTGAAATCCCCACAGTCACCTCCTCTTCCTCTAGGAAAAATGTCTGTGCTCCCTTTGGAACCTGTTAGTTGCGAAACACTGTTTCCATTCTTCAACTACTACTACAAATTACTAGTGCTACTGCTACTACTTCTACTATTATTAATTTTTCTTTTCATTACTGTTATTGCAATTATGTAACTATGTTTGTACAGTCTTCTCCCTTGATGGAATTTAGCTTTGAAGCAGTTAAGCTTTGCCTTCAAAGACACCAGCTCCCTCTGCATTTAAATGAGTTTTGAAAAAGCTTCCTTTGTTAAAACAACAACAACAACAAAAATGTCAGAAATAATAGTTCCCAATTCTTTTAAGCCAGTTGTAGAGAATGAGGAATATTTGCCATTGACCCAAATCAAATGAGACTCCTTATTGTTCTGAACTCCACAGCAGTCAGGACAAGACGCTGACTTTCGACACATCCGGAAAGGTGCGCCACAGTTTATGCAAATTCTGGCTGATTTTAGACATCCTCACCTTTCCCACACCGGATTTCCAAATCCCCAACTACCATTTCTCACTCTCTCATTTCTTGGCAAAGTACTGAATTTAGTAGCCAGATTTGGATCAGTGGATTTTCTCCATGGACACCCAGAGACACATTATGGACAGAAGTTGGATTTGGGCTGCCCCAAAGAGCTGAGTCCACCCCCAGCTGATGGCAGAACCTGGCAGGGACTCCACTCATCTCTCAGAAACACTGTTTCTGGGCACTCCGTCCTTCTCCTCCCTCAGCACACACTCCAAGGAAGATGCAGCATCCCTGCTCCTTTCTTCACACCGATACTCCTGAACTGGGCTTCCAAGCAGCAAGGACAAACACTGCCCATTGCTGGTGGCCTGAGGGCTGATTGCAGCACTTTGCAAATCTTCCAAGAGTTTGAGACCCAAAATGGGGCTTGATCTTTTTGGCACTTTGCACTAAGGAATGGCTCCTGCACTGCTTTACTTCTCCCAGCATCCTCTCATTTTCCACAAGATATTGCCTACAATCCTTTACATCCCGTCAGTACCCTTTCCTAGGAAAAGCTGACTGCAGCCATCAGCTCTTCCTCCTCTTTCCAAAGGTCAAACACATTTTGAAAACCATCTCTGTGGCTCTCCCAGCCCAGCTGCTTTGCCTCAGCACCGTGGGCACCTACATTCCATAGGGCACAGTAATATCCCAGTGCTGAAGGATGATGCTGGCAAAACCCCAAAATGCACCTGGGAACCAAGTGCCTTGGAGCTCTGGGGAGGCTGAGCCACGAGGCAGGCAGGGCCTGTGTGCTGGTCCCTTGGCCTTGAGGGACTGCCAACAACAGAGAGCCCCAACAATTGCACTCACCTTGACAGGCTCAGGCAGGATTTTGCACTGTGGAGCTTTGCCTTCTGACCCTCGATCTGAGAGACTGTCATGGCTGTCATAGTTCCTCTCAGGATTTGGTGTGTGCTCCAGTGATTGTGTTGAGCATTCCCTCCATCTGTCTTCATAGGGGTTTGTCTTCCTGGAGGCCGGCCTATGACTGTGGCTTTGTGACTGGGCTTTGGGCTTGTTTGGAATCCAGATGGGATTCAGAGGGGACTCGTGGCTCAGGAGCACCTTGGAGTCCTGATCGCCCAGCAGGTTCTTAATGCGCCTTGACAGCTCATCTTCTTTATAGGTCTGCAACAGAATAACAGAGGGGCAAATGTCACAAACACCCCAAGCAAGAGACCTTGCTCAGTATCTTCATGGAATCACCATGCATCCCCACAAAGGAAGTCAGGCAAGCTCAATGAAGCAGATGGAAAGATGTGCTGTGTCTGCAGGGATTGGGCTCAAGTCTGCTACGGCCCATGCAGAAGACATGGCTCTCCTCTCCCAGGCCAAGCCTCCTTCCTCCTCTCCATACAACCTTCAGCCCACTCCCATTACCTTGTAGGGTCTGGCAAAGAGAGGAGTCTTCCCCAGGAATGGATCTTTCTCCTCTGGAGCCACCTGCCTCCTTCGCCTCTCTTGCTCCAGGAAGCGGAGCAAATCTCTGTTGTTGTTGCAGCTTCCAGCCCGAGACAGAGAAAGGAGAGTTAACACTTGAACCCTGTTTATGCTGTGTGCAGAACCTGGGGCTTTCCCACAAGGGCACATGTCCAGCACCAAAGCAATGCTGAAATGCACGGGATGCTGACAGCACACAGATCAGTTCTGCTCAGCGTGTGCTCTGTCCCAGAGCAAAGAGACACACAAGGGACAGCAGGCATCCTCCTCAGGGATTGCTGCACCTGATCCCAGCCACCTAGACAGGTGGGAAGGGAAAAACTGTCCCCCCATTTCCTTGTGATACAAATGGAGAAGCAGTCACTGGGGATGATGATGAGCACATGAGCGGCCAAATCCACTTGCAATAATCAATGGCAGAAAATGCCATGCTTGTTCTCCTTCAGACCTCTCACCCCACTCTCCCCCTGAGAATCAAAGACAATCCTCTCTTTTCATCATGTTGACACTTTCAAGGACTGAACTTTGTCCACTTTATGAACCGCCATGGAAACTCACTCTCTAATTTCAATGGATATTTGGAAAGCTGTGTACCTGGAAAATCATGTAGCTGCATTTAAAGACATGCCATCAACACATTTAGAAGGAAGATCTCAGAAATTAAGAAAAGTCCACATCAAATCCTCCTCTTCCTCCTCAGCCACATATGCATGTACTCAATTCCACCAGCCCTACATCCTAACACCAATAAAGCTGTGCCCCACTGAAGGAAACCACATCCTTTAAACTGTCCCTGCTCTGTGAAAGACTTTTGAAGAAAGAGTGAAACTATGGTTCTGATATTTGTGGACATTGGAGAAGGAAAAGCATGCAGGCACAGAGGATGCAGGTATCTGTTTCTACTCTACTGCCGAGTCTGTTCGATACATCCAATTCCGAGATTCTCCTTGCCTATCCAACTTCACAAGTGCCAAGATTACATTGAATTAATTCCTACCTCTTGTCACTGATCTGGTTGTGAGTCGGTTCCATTCCAAAGCCTCCGTTTGCGTCAGCTTCTCTGGAAGAGAACAAACAGATATTCACCTTCTGCACGAGGACAGGCCTAAAGCAGGGCTCAAGATCTCCAGGGACTCAGAGCCTGGACTGCACAACTGGGAGTCATTGCAGTGCTCCTAAACATAAAGCAGGCAAACATGGGGATTGCACGAGACTGAGAATGGCAGAACCAAGAGATGCACTTTGCCCTTCCCCCAGCAGTGATGCTGCCTTTCAGCTCAGCTCTTAACTCCAGATCTGGCCAGGAGCATGACAGACCAGGCCACTGCTCCAGGCTCTGGGCTGTTTACTCCCATTTTAAGAATACAAGTGCCCTAGGAACCCTGCCTTTACACAAGCAAATGGGCCTGACATGAATGGCAGCTTTTGTGGAAAGGGGAAGAAAAGAAAAGCTGCCATTCATGT